GAGAGAAAAACAAAGTAAAGAACAACAAAAAAAGAAAAGAAAACGATTAATCGATTATTAAATTAGTCATCGATTATTTTAATAATCGATTAGTCGCCGATTAACCGAGGCAGCCCTACTGTATACAAAGAGTTGAAGCTAATGGTTACTTTTAAAACTAATTTATTTTAAGTAATGCATGTCAAGACATCCCCTGCTTTTTTGCTTGTTGCAAGCTAATGACACATCTTCAGGTTTTTTTTTTTTTTTTGCATCTTGATTAACACCTGGAAGCATTCATTCTACAACAAACTACAAAAGGTCAAAGACAGGAGAGTTTTAGAGGTTGCTTTTTATTCATTGGCAATATACGGATATTTTAAGAAGTTAATAGAAGTCAGCTGTGTTTGTTAGTCACAGTACCATAGTAAGGCATTTATGCTGCTGGTAAGCATACAGTACATTCTATCTTTAAAAGGCTTATATCGCGTTTAGTTTGACATACAAAGTGCATACAAAGAACACTTTTGGCCTCTGAACACTGAATATTGCAAAGCACAAAGCGCACACAGAGCAATACATCTATTTCCAAAAGTATGGTTATAAAGTTGGTACTTTTTCCCCCCAATAAGCAAGCAGAAAGTACATCCAAATGCAGGCATTATGGCATATTCATCAGAAGCAAAACATACACAACTTGAAGTGGCTTTGTCCTTCAGATACACACAGTCCTCTAAAGAGGCAGGTTAAAGGGACTTTTATAAAAGAATGACATCACATGCTCCAATAGACTTCCTTAAAAAAAGATATCTCCCCTTGTGTAGCTTCTTCAAACAACACAATGGAAAGTATGCAGCACAGATCAAATGCAGGAAAACAGTCAGAGACACTTGTGGCTATTTTTTGGGAGGAACACTTGGACATCCTGTTGGGCAAATGACTGAAAATTTCCAATTTGTGTTCACTTTAGCTTGAAAACAATTGAACGTTGCTGCTTGAATTAGAAAACCTTGTTTCAATTCGGACCCTCAGATTTCCCCAGATATGTTCCCACATGGAAAAACAGACCACAGCAGCAGAACTGTTTTTTTCTTCTTGTTGTTTGGTACTAATAGTAAATCCGTTTTACTAGCAAACAAAGCGCATTGGTGGAGAGCTACCAGTACTGATGATGATGACTCACAGTGCCACAGATTGGATATAAGGCAAGAGGAAGCAGGGTGGGAAGCCTGGATCGTCTCATCATTATCAGATTCAACTCATCTTTGGATTTTTTTTTTAAATCAAGATAAGGAGTTTTTCTTGGTGAAACATGTTTTCTTTTTCATACGAGGAGCTGGTTTAAAGGGTCTGAGGAAAAGAGATCAAGTTTCCTTGATCAGTTGACTGCCTCTAACATTATTATTTAAAGTTTATTCATTAGTCATCTTTTTGCTCCAGTTGAGATTCATTGCACCAAAAGGTTAGTACGACAAAAACAAAAGGCACCTTCTTGTTAAAACAGCAACATTTTACATAAATGATGTATCTGTAAAACATGAAGGACATCAAGGTGAAAATAAATGGCACACGGTTTTAATAGACTGCAATATAATGATAAAAATGGCTTATGTGAAATAAAGGCAATAAAAAAACTCCACAGCATGTTTAACCTGACTCAAACTAATATATAT